GCTGTGAACATGCTCCCTCCGTGCAACGCATGCGCTATTGCTCCCTTTCCATCCCGCACCCGTGCATGCTTTTGAGCCACCCTTTCCCTTTTTCTCGACAATGCGGTGTTCTTTGTCGCGTGCACCCTTGCTGTATTGAAGGTGGACCAGAGGGGGAAACACGAACGGCGGTGGATCCTGAGCTTGGACGAGGGTCTTCTCGTGATGGTACGCGAATGGATCCGCGTCAACTGTATCAAAAATGGGGAGCCCAACATGACAGCCGAGGGCTTCCGCGAGTACCTCAACAAGGACGTCTTGCCACAGGTGGCAGACACCAAAACGTGCGACTACGACCCCTTCAAGCATGCTCCTGTCACCAAGACGACGACTGAAACGGCATCAGGAGAGATAATGGTGTCGTACTCGGTGACCGTTCGCACGGCGTGCTCCTGGCTGCACAAGCTGGGGTGCGAGTACCGCGATCGCAAGTCGGGCCTGTACGTTGACGGCCATGACCGCAAAGACGTGCTCGCGCACCGGGTCGAGAAGTACCTCCCGGCGTACTTTGAGACTAGTAGAGCTAGTGTGGGGTAGATCCAAGTATTGGGTCCGACAGCACTGTAAGTACACTATCGCGTGCTTGCGGACCAATGTTTCTAAGAGCTACGCAGTGGCCGAAGACCGCTTGAGTCTAGCAATTGTGCAAAAGTTCTGCAAGACGGTGGCCAACTTCAACGAGGTGTACCGCGACGGACTCCAGGGCGCGGAAGCAGTACAGAAGAGGGACACCATTAAGTCTCACCGCAAGCCGGCTCCGTCAGCGTGTATTAACCCTAAGTGATGAACACGTTTATTCTGTGTTGTGTGGTGTTGAAGCGTACATACGTAGTATGTCGACATGGGTGTATCAATAGGTTATTTTCTGTCTGCGTGTTGTTGTCAGTGGCGCTGTTGCAGTGCGTGGTGTATTGTTTTGTTCCCCCTTTTCGTTGGCGGATTCTCTGTGTGCTACAGTATGTATGGCCGTGCGTATAACGTTCAGTAGTGGCAAAAATGAAGAGTGCAACGTGCGTGGGTATCGTGGGGTCATTGTACAGAAGGGCCTCCAGTCGATTGAAGTAATCATACATGGGAAACAAGCCGGTGCGCATGAGCCACATTTCCTGTCCCGCCCCAGGAAGGCGCCATATATACACATATGAACATTTTTTTTTTGTTCATGAATATCTTCGTTCTTCTCTACTCAAGCCCCGCCGATACAAAGCAAAAAAAAGAGATGCGGGATGTTTTGAGTTCGTGGTTGCCGAAACATTAGACAAAGAGTAATCATCCCCCCCCCAGAAATGCCTCGAAAATCCTATACGAAAACCATGAAATTCCAGGAACGCCTCAAATCGATTTGGTCCCTGAACTCTTGTGGCAAATAGGATGTGGATTACTACTAAAAAAAGTGAAGAAAGTGAAAAACTCGTGATGTTATGGCCGGTCAACCAAAATCGGCCTGACGAATGCCGGCACTGTAACCATAATAATTATGGTGGTCAAGTAGATCTTATTGTACGGGGTCGAGAACCCTCACTCCGCGCAAGGGGGATGATCGCACCACGCGTGTTAAAATGGTCAAGCACCCTCTAGGCAATTAAACTGTCTCTGGAAGTGAAAGCACCAGAAAATAAATTAATATATACGCAGCTGTCATCCGAACGCAAGTAAGCACAAGATGCCGAACACCCTTAGCAGGATGCAGCGCACCCTTCATGCGACTCGCCGAATATCTCACGGCGCTTCGCGCTTGGTGATGTGAGAGCCTGGTCCGGTGAGAACCCGGCGTGCTCCGTCCCGGCTTTGTACGGATGCGAGGTCAATGGTCTAACGACTACGGCATGCACGACTATGAGTATGAGTACACCCCCGGACGAGAGTGTCGTGGTGATGCCCGACTCGGTCAGGATTCCATCTTGGTGAGGAGGTTGCCAAGGGAAAAACATGTAATGCGGTGATGGCGGTGGCGTTGGTAGTGGGCCGGCGGGGGGAAGGCAGGAAGGTAATAGTTCCCTGTATGCTTTCCGTCCGTAAGGCATTAATCTTTCGGACAACTAACCCGGAGCAACACGGCAAGAACCACGCAAAAACAAAAAGGG